ATATAATGTACATTCAAAAATAATAATAATATGAGTGTTATCAATCAAATACAATCAGATGGGAAATAAGACGAGTGTTTTTATAGTCAAAATAAATAAGTAACTTGTTAGAATGTTATGATGTGTGTGAATTGAATTGAAATAGAATACAATTTAAGATTATTTATTATCCTCCTCTGATTTGATTTACTGACTGACTGGTGATAATAATATCTTCCATGCACATCTCTGGTATTTGCATTGAGTCATTTCTGTTGCATGTGTTGTGTGTAGACTCGATGAACTAGGCAGGATTCAGTAATCAATCCTTGTCCCTCCCCACCTACCTAGATTACTTTTCAAAATTGTAATCCTCTTCCATCCTATTGTGTGGTTGTATGTTAATGCATCCAGGTAACATTTCCTTAACGTGAAGTGTGCACTAATGGACAGCTATTGTAGGTTATGCGAAGAGTGGCAGAAAATGACGTTTACCTTAATGATCGCATCAGCCGATTTTTAAGTATTTCACTCGAAGTGTTACCCTCAAAATCAGAGTTTACGTACAACGTGTTGCTATTTTTGGCTGCCTTACCAATCTCTGTATTTCTCCCTTGTTACAAGGCTGTTGGCCTCTACAAAGCGTAGTGAATAACACCGTTCACTATGAAGATTTATTTCAGTTGTTTGAGTTTTATTATCAACACTATCTTCACTACAACTTCTCCGCCCCCCACCCCACCCCGCCTTGTTGACAGAGAACGGATTAGATTCCTTTTCCTGTCTATGGAGACAAAACTGTAAATATTGGCCAGTTGTCCTGTCCACTTCAAATTTCTGTTAAAACAGATGTTTTAAAGACTCTTCAGCTCTCCTGGTGACTAGCTGTTATGTACTCGTCGCCAAATTATTGTTATGAACTGGTCGAGAATTTAATAATCCTGACGCAAGAAGGCGGAAATCAGAAGACCACTAGGTTTGTGGTATCACACCAAAAGTAGTCACACAAGATTGTGTGAGCGAAATATATATGAATGTCCAGACAAGTGTGAGAACAAATTAATAGACAGCCTTAACATGAATGGCTAATTATAATGGAGTATCGATCCATACATACATAGCAAAATATAGCAGACATGTCAACAACCACACATATAATATGGATATCTGTCACCAAGCAACGGACTGTCAACAAACACTCATATTATATAGAATATAAGGGGAATATACATTGTTAAAGGAGACAGGTTCATCAAAGTGAAATGGTCACAGACTAAGCGAGCAAACAGAGAGAGAGATCACCATATATATATATATATATATATATATATAGCAGGATGACTGTCATTGAATACTTTTGGGGTGTCATTCAATTCCCAGTTCTTGTCGGATATAATCAATGTATCTTTTCTATAAGGTAATCTCTTCTGTGACTTCACTCAATCGGAAATGTACCATTACTAGTAAAATCTATTCCACTTCACTTTGGCCAGTCTTTTCCTATTTGGATTCATTCTGCTACTGTCATCAAACTTACCGACTTGGAACTAACTAGTAGAATGAACACTCTCACCACAGTAATCCCATGTTTTAAAAACGGTCAGAATCAATTTTTAAAAAATCATTTCAATTCCTTTAGAGATATAGGAGTTCACAGACGTTTTGGAAGAATAATGACTGCACAAATATACACTTACAATGATCACAAAAAATTGCCAATCAGTGGGAAGTAACATAGCTATCTCTTCTCTTAGTGCTTTTTGGAGCTGGAGTGGTAAGTGTCTCATCAAGTGGAATCTTCACGAAAATACAAGACGACTGTGTAGGAACTAACAGAATCCACATATTTCCTGGAGTGGCACATTACCTCTGAGGTTTTAACATTGGTATTATTATACGCGCTACAATTTCCACCCACTGCCCTCTCTCTGCTGATTTCGCAAATGAATCCTCGGTTATGTATGGCCAACCAGTACGCAATTGTCTTCATCATGTTACCCTCCAATAAGCGCATCAACAGGCAAGTTCCGGTCTTACAAACGGCCATTACGAATCTATATGTGCATTCTTCAAGCTTCCACAATATACAACTCAATAAGAGGTGAGCTCTGCTAACTAATATGAAATTAAAGGAAGACTGAGGCTGTGAATAACTAACTGAATCATACGTACAAATTCGTAATTCACTCTCAGCTAATATAACAAACTACACCTACTCTCACGTTATGGTCAATAAGAGGACAAACGAGACAGGATGGGTGAATTCATTTGTTTCTCACTGAAAACTATCGATTCGCGTACGGTAATTAGACAAATATGAACAAACTGGCTCCATCGAGAGGTGTTTGACTGCCACTCCCAGTGACGCACCACCCAATCTCGGGGAAAACACCTCTAATGATGAATAGTACTAACAAAACAAAGATGCAATATCAAAACAAAATTGCTTTGCATTACACACTAGTGATGCATTTCCAAGCTTTGTGGTCACATGTATAAGTTGCTACACTACGAATCAAATTTTCGACCATCGTCACAAGTATGCTCATTTCACTAACCAAAATTAGAGAATTCCACAACACTGAGACAGCTGGTAAACAGAATCACGATAAGCATTCGAGACGTGATCCCTCTAGAGACTTCTGAATAAATAGGAGGGAACAAAATAAGTGACGTTCAGATACCACACCCCCACTAGTCACCTCAACAAGTGTTCAATTTATCTCCATTTTTCCGAATAATTCTTTAACAGTAGGCCAGTGATTGGTTTGCTCTCTGACTTTTTGTTGTCGTCTTTTGTTGGTCGGCCATGTCACCTTCATTATGGAGTCAGCGAAGTTGCTGTCTGTTGACGAAAGTCTAAAGTGACCTGATCCAGATGCCTTCTGTGACGCACCCGCCAACTTTCTCATACATATAGAAGAGCTAACCTGACATTAGTGTTGAAATTCCACACTGTGTATTTTATGGTGAGTGGAGAGAATTTCCAAATTGATTTCAGTGTAATGAAGGCACACCTTGTCTTTCCGATTTCGACCAGCTTTCACATCTCCACACGTTCCGCTGACCTCTAGTTGAGACGATTCTGCCCCGCCAGATAAGTGAAGGAAGTAATCTCGTTCAAATTTTTCCCGTTGATGGTGATTGCTGCCGTTTGTTGTTGTTGGCTCGTTGGTTATCTTTATCACCTGCGGCTTCTCAGTGTTCGATTGGTGTCTGGTCTTCGCTGTCTGAGAGCCTCATTAGCCAGTCTCTTGCTTTTTGTTTGTGTCACATTTGACATAAATCACCCATACACGAAATCCAGATCCTCCAGTCTTCTTATCGGTTCAGTGTACTCCTGTCTTCTCGTTCTCGGCTGTCTGTTGCATTATCCAGTCCACCACCATCAGGAATATCTTCCGTGGTTAAAATAAATAGACAGTCAGCCTTCTTTTACTCGCGTATTTACTTCAAACCACTTTTCTCGTGTATTCTGGAATTTAGAAAATTCCAATGCACTAATTCAAGGTCGCTTATTGGAGGTGATAGAACCACTTTGGCGGATTTATCACATACATTCTTAAAGTATTTGTACAATAACACAACACAACAGACTTCAACCCTCACCACGTGCCAGCTGTGATGGACCACATGACCCATTTAAATATGATTGGTCATTAGTGTGTACTTTTGCTTTGTTTTATATAACTGAGTAATTCTCATGCATTTTATTTGACTATTATTGTGAATCATGTTAGTTGTGAAGTCGTTGTAAAGAGACTCCAAAATGACGATATCATCTGGTGAAATTTGTCTTCCTCATTTATATATAATGAATACAATGGCATGTGACTCTTACAGAGGATAACGTCGTCTCATGTGTGACAAATGTAGCTCCTATTTCTGAATTCGTTGAATGTCAACAAAGAAATTAACCCGCATCTAGTGTGGCGTGTGTTAGTTACACCATTTATCAGTAGTATGTGGGAGACGTTCTCAGATAGAAGAATATCAAATGACAGAGAGATAAATTGGACATCAAACGGAAGAAATGACCTGGTATTGCAGGAAAACATGAGATATACGAATAGTAGGCAAAGGAACATAATGCGATGGACAGAATCGACACAACAAGGGAGATCTGTGCAAATGACGATTTCAATATATATATCTTCGTGTATTCTGCCATTTACAAAACTCCAAAGCACTCAGTAATTTATCCGAATAGAAATCCACCAATCTAGAATCATCATCCATTGCAAACCGCTTATTCATTATTAATGTTAGGTGACAAAATCAATATTATTATTATTAATGACTGCTTCACAATTATTTCATCACATAACGCACATCTAATTGAAGGTGGTGGAAGCACTCTGTGGCGGATTAATCACAACATCCTAAACTATGTGTACAATAACACAACACAACAGACTTCAACCCTCACCACGTGCCAACTATGAAGGACTACTTGACCTGTTTAAATATGAGTGGTCATCAGTGTGTACTTTTGCTTTGTTTTATTTAACTGAGTAATTATCATGACTCTTACTGTATCATTCTTTCTTACACCCCACCCGCTGCCACCTTTTTATTCGTCGTGTACTGAACTCAGCGATCATGCTGGGTAGTGTCTGCTGTCTGTGCCTCAAAGTGAATGCCACATACGCGGTCGGGATTCGCGTAGAAAATAACGATACTAGGCAAACTTTCTCGAAAAGCTGAAATTTAGATAAGATGATGACTTATCATCGATGATTACCCACCATACCTACAACCGGGAAACTATTCGTCCCGGATGATACTGTTTCAAACTGAAGAGATAATAACTTAAAAAAGATAATCAAAACTGATCGAATTTTATAAAATAAACTTTTCAAAAATAAAAATCATAAAAAATAACGGTGTAGTCCTCCTAAGACTGTTGGAATACAAAAAAATTCTGATATACAATTGGAATGAATCTGTGCAATTTATGTACATAAAAATGTATGAAAATATTACTAAATACAAAAGTCCTGATTACTGTATACAATATCTTATGTATGTACAGACTGGTCATAATTGAGCTGATGAAAAGAACGAAAAGAAAACAAAAACAAAACCGATGCAACGGAAGATGGATGAATAGCATCGGGATATGGCGTAGACGACATTTGGATATATTCACCTTGATGTAGCTGAAAAACAAAACATACAGAATATGTGACTATATACACGCATACATACATACATACATACGCACATATAAAACATAATTTGCACTCCAAGAGGTGTGGCGTTCTTACGGGATAGAGTTGCTAGTCTTACGTTCAACCTCCCCTCCTCTTTACTGACGGCTAGACTAGGTGGTGGTTTAGGAGCAACTGAACCCAGACCACGCGCTTGGTTGGCGAGCATCTTAAACCTATCCCCATCGTCGAACTATGTAAGAAAAAAACCGGCTAAATGGTGCCAAAACTATAAAAAAAACAACTTTCGCACCTTGACTGGACACACACTGATTAGTGTCATGTGTCGAGTCCTTTGTTTGCTGCATGCTGCAGTCAAGTTTGCGATATGGTCAATCCAATGCTAGGTGGTAGTACGCCATCATGGTGCACTCTTAATTGTTTTTGGTTATCCTTGAATAAGAGTAAACACAATATAGTCCTACAGGACGTCAGTCGTCACCAGCACGAAAAGCTCAGTGGTAACGCATATGACTGCAGCAATAACGCGCGACATGAGTCCCATCAACATTTCATATATGGCCCATCGACTGATGAGTGCAACGCACATGCAACTCAGGTGTATAAGGCTTCCACCAGCTGGTTGACTGCTTCCAAGCACACATAATAACAACTTCTTTTGTAATTCAAACTAAGATATATCTAAAATATAGTCTATTTGTGCAACAACGAGTTTATGTCATAAAGTTGTTTGCCTTTATAATTGCGAGAAAAAAACTGCGAATTAGCAGATTTCATTCGCCCAAAAGACTTTCAATGCAAGCTGTCAGCAAGCATTCTCAAGTGCACATTGAGAAGTCTAAAGTGTGTAATTGGTCTGACTCTGGGAGACCTTTTCTATCAACTACTCTATCCATAATCATCGTATCATGACACCTACTATCTCTCTATCTATCATCCATACTAATTAGATTTACTTTCCAGGTATCTAAGAGAGACTGTGAGAGAGCAACTATGATTCATTTTCGCTACTCCGGACCTTTTTCCATTACTGTTACCGTTATCTATATGCAACACAATAATCCCATCCAAATAAGTTTGATGTTTTCAACTCTCTGAGTTCAGTGAGTTAAACCGTAAACACACACACAGACTTTCGATGAGCTCAGTATCGAACACAAGTGAAACAGTCGTTCAGTGTTTGGATAGTTTTGATCTGGAACTCATAAACCCTACGGATTAATATGATCGTAGACAACTTACTTATATCAATCAATCAACCAATAGTAATAAAGCAAGTATGCATATATCTGATATGAGGCAAACACTATTTACTTTTACGAGTTGATCACGGATTGATATCCGTTAGAGAACCATTGAAAACTACCAAACAGCTATTTCCTCCGTCCTAGTTTGGGAATCATCGACAATACGCACCCACTCACCACACAGCCGGTTCGAACCCCAGGACCTTCCGTTTACAAGGCCAACAAGCTCGTATACCATTCAGCCTTTCACTGGGACCCGATTCAATAGCTAGCCCATGGATCCTAACATCCAACAGTTCGTGATTTAGCGCGACTGGCACCAACCAATGTTGTCGGTGGGACATCCATCCTCACACTTGATATTTGGATGGACTTCACTAGTCACGACTTCTCTCACTAGAACTCCAGGAAACTCCATCCTGTAGCCAGTTACTCACTGGTGAGCATCAAACCAAACTCTTGAAAATTCATCTGATGCTCGCTAGTGACTTGTAACAGGACGGAATTTCCTGGAGTTCTAGTGAGGGAGGTCGTGACCGGTGAGGTCCATCCAGATGTCAAGTGTGAGCGTGATGGATGTCCCCCACCGACGACATTGGTTGGTGTCAGTCGCGCTAAATCACGAATTGGTAGAAGTTAGAATTGATAGGCTGGCCCATTGAACCGGGTCGATTCTCAGTGGCTGAATGGTATACAAGCTTACTGGCCTTGTAACCGGAAGGTCCTGGGTTCGAACCCCCCTGACCACTGTGGTGGGGTGGGTGCGTACTGCCGATGATTCCCAAATCTAGGAAGGAGGAAACAGCTGGGCTGTCCAGTACTCCCTGTGGCTGGTTTTCAATGCTTCTCTGACTGAATGAACACCAATCATAGAAAAACTATTTATTATTCACACAAGGGTATGCGGGCTAATACTAATTAACCTAATTGCCTTGGTTTCCATCAGCTGACAATCGACTACTTCAATTAATCAGTCAAAAAAAGGCGTGTGTTTATGGATTATGCCACAATATCCTGAACAACTCAAACATGGTGTTTTATTCAACGGTGAAATCGGAAAAAAAGATACATTTTATGTAAAATCTATAATAATAATAATAATAATAAAAATTAAATTACTCACTCCACTGCAGTGAGTTAACTTACACATATCACAATCAATCTGTCCTAATTCGTGGCGCATGCATTGTTGTTGTTGATGATAAGACTGACGGTCGACTAACAATAATAACTGGTGTTGGTGTTTGTGACGATCCAGTAACACTAACATTATTACCACTATTATTATTATTATAATAAGATGGATGTGGTAAAATTAATCGATGATGTGATGACTGTTGTTGTTGCAGTTGCTGTTGTTGTTGGGGGTGATGATGATAAACATAATGAGGAGGTAATATATGTGTTGTTATTGTTGCTGGTGCTGGAGCTCCTGAAGGATACAGTGTCCGGTCAACAGGGATTGGATGATTCAAAATCGATGAAGTTGTAGGATGATGCAATGTTACGCCGTTGGAACAACTAGGAGTAGGATTAATATTGACATTGGTAGTACCATTACTAGTAGTACTGATAGAAGTAGTAGTATAAGTAGGAGTAGAAGTACCACCATTAGTCATTGTAGTACTGGTGTTTCTCAACTGGGCTTTAGCTTGTACACATGAATTGATGTGTATTGCCCAGTGTTTTGACTGGCATACATTATTACAATACGATGTATTCCAACAACAATAATAATACGCCAGACTTCCACAAAAAGCACACTGAAAATTAAAAAAAACAAAAACAAGATGATCACAGATTGATATCAGTGTTAGAAAATCAATAAAAAATCAACAGGCAGTAACTGGGCGGTTGGAGCTTATCGGCAGTACTCATTCATCCAAGGAGTCCAAACCGACGATCTTTCACAGTTACGAGACAATCTGGTAAACCATTCAGCCACTAAGATATTCGTCAGACTTAATGACCAGCCTATAAATACTAACTTCAATCAATTCATGATTTTAGTGCGACTGACTGGCAACCAGACAATGTCATCCCGTGGAGAGTATTTGTCCTCGCACGCCCGACCTGTGTTTGTAGCCTACTGATCGCGACTTGTCAATAAAATCCAGGTAACCACCTACCTACCTAGTCGTCGTTAATGAGCATCAGAATAATGTCAGCTCATGATGAAATCCTTTAGCCAATCAAATCTTCCTCCTTATCCTCCCCCGCTATCTGCAAAACTAACACTTGAATGGAAGAATCTCTTGTCAAGCTGAAGTGAGTTATCTTAACACTGTTGCCAAATACGCTGTAATGGTGAAGTGTTAGTAATTTTGTTGGTTGTTAACTATTTTGACTAGAAGGAGCCTCCTTTAGACACAACTGATCATGCATGACAATATTCCTCACACTGAGTGAGGTAGGCAGACATGGAAGTCGGTTTTAACCGCTACAATCACACGAAGTATCTTCATTATTTCAAATACGGAAATTATAAATAATTAATCAATATTATTATTATTGTTCCCTTGGGTTCCTAGTAGAACATAGGGCTTCAACTGCACCTCTCCATTTGCTTCTGTCTTCTGCTGTACTTTACAACTGCATCCATCTTAGTCTATACTGTTTCATCCACCCACTTCACACGATCTCCTCCATGTCACCCTTGCACTGACGTCCTACTCGCCGCTTCCCTTTCAAGTTCCACCCAAGCGATGGCCTGACGCGCGCACGATGTCACCCAGCGGTCTCCTCTGCGAGTGTCCGATCCATCTACAATTTCTCCTGCATATTTGTTGGGCGGTTGGTTCCTGCTTTGTTTGTTCTCATAGCTGTTTCGTGTTGGTGATTCTTTCCGGCCCGGCCATCTGATTGGTCTTCAGTATAGAGCGAATACAGTTGTTGGTTGATGAAGGTCTGCAACAGACTGTTGGAAATATTCTTTGTGACCCGCCCGCCCGTCAAGTTTCTGATCCCTATAGAAGAGCTGACAGACTTGACGTTGTTTGAATTGAAAATCCGACCGAATTTTGTTGTTGTGGCTGAGTTGAGTGACGAAGATTTCCAGATTGGTTTCAGTTGGTTGATGAACGTGTTTCTCGCTCGCCTTCCCGATTCTCGCTCGATTTGACATCCTCGTCCGTTCCGACTGCCTGTATTTGAGACAATGCTCCCTAGATGATAAGTGAATGAAGTAACCTCTTTCAAATCCCTCCCGTTGTTGATGGTGATTGGCACTTAGATTACTAGCTCGCTAGTTTTCTAGTCGGTCCCAAGCCGGAATAAAGAGGGAGGGTTGGGGCGTGGTGCTGGCAACTCCACCAACCCTTCCCCTCAAAAAAACTTAACCAAATCGCTACAGAAACTTCAACGCACAAATATATTAAAAATTCTAGAAATAGTCAATATATAGAAAATCAAAACAAGTGATTCAGCGAAGAGACTCTTTTCAACGAATTTATCATCAAGCTGTACAGTCGTATATATATGGTTTATCAGACCAGGATTTCCAATGCTTCAAATCTACCATTACGGACTCCTGCAATCAATACCTTAATGCTAGATCAAAAATGCAAAGTCTTCTTACTAAACAGCACAAAGAAGAACTTAAGCTTTTGACGCATAACAGCGATATACTATTAACACGCCCTGACAAGGGTACAGGTGTTGTTATTATGGATCGAAAAGATTATATCGATAAAATGTCATGTCTACTTTCAGACAGCAGTAAATTCTCGAAACCGAACGAGAAAAACAAGACGGAATTAATTGAGAAACAACTTACTGATACTTTAAAGAGAATGAAGAACAATCATCTCATTCGTGAAGAATTATACGAAAAGATCAGACCAACAGGATCTCTAATACCAAGACTGTATGGTCTACCGAAAATACACAAAGCTGGAGTTCCACTTCGCCCTATCTTGGATATGTCTGGATCGCCCTATCATCCAGTAGCTGGGTGGTTAGCTGAAATCCTCGAACCAGTCAGGGGGCAACTATCTAATCATTCCCTTCGGGACACCTTCCAATTTGTTGAATGTATACAGGATATAAATGCGTCGAATAAACAAATGTTGTCTTTGGATGTAGAATCCTTATTTACGAACGTTCCACTGACAGAGACCATATGTTTTATATGCAAATATATTGAAGACAACAAATTGAACATAGGGATACCTACTACAGATCTTAAAGAACTACTTTTGAGATGTACATTGAATGTACAGTTTACTTTCAATGAAACAATCTACAGGCAGAAGGATGGTATTGCGATGGGTTCTCCCTTGGGTCCTCTCCTTGCAGACGTTTTTATGTCCAGTCTAGAAAATGGTTCCCTGAAGCCTATGATCCAAAGCTTTCAAATATATAAAAGGTATGTAGATGACACCTTTATTATTTGTAATATTGATTGTGACCTGAATAATATATTAAGTGTATTTAATGATTGCCATCCTGCGATAAAATTCACACTCGAAATGGAGAACGAGTCTAGCATTCATTTCCTCGATGTGAACTTATCAAGAAGGACCGATGGAACTCTGAAGAGATCGATTTATCGTAGGCTGTTATGGAATGGTCAACTGACAAATTTCTATAGCTGGGTACCTATTGGTCGTAAACGAAACCTGGTCCGGTCGCTTGCCACTCGTATTCGGCGCATATGTAGCACTGATACTGTGGAAGATGAGTTATACATTTTGAGGAAAATCCTAATGGAAAATGGATTTCCACCACGTTTTATAGATAAGAATATACATTCAAAGCCTACAAAACGTGACTTATCAACCGCTCCCAAGAAAATACTTTACATGAGCTTAGAATTCAAAGGGGACTTAGCTTCCGATATCATGAAACGAAGGATATCACAGTCCCTGAAAAGAACATTCCCTGCTGCCTCCCTGAGAATAGCTTTTACTAGCCGACCATTATTGTTCAATAACCTGAAGGACAAGATCCCAATGTTGACCAACTCTATGTGCGTTTATCAATTCACCTGCTCTTGTGGAGCTAGGTATATCGGTCGTTCGACTCGAGTTTTGTCCAAGAGGGTGCAAGAACATTATCCTGCATGGCTACGAAAAGGTGGAAGTGGAGCAATAAGAAGCGCGATCATAGAACATCTGGTCGAAAATGATCACCCTATCTCTATAGCCTCCGCCTTTAAAGTCATCTACAAGGCAAAGAGCAATCTACCTAAATCCCTACGTACCCGACTCATCTGTATTGCTGAAGCTTTGGCTATCGAAACAGAAAAGCCAGATCTCTGTGTACAGAAAAAGTTCGTTCAACCCCTCCAACTTTCATGGTCTTAATCCCTCTATGCTAAAATATGGTAATCCCCAATCATATTTTAGCTCTACCAATTTTTCATTTTTCATTTTGTCTATTCAATTTGTATACTTTTCCTTATTAAGTCAATTGTTATTATTACTATTCTCACTTTGAACTGTCCCCGGTATTATTTCACTCGTTCCACTTGTCATTCTAAATCAATTCTTTTTTACAACGATAAATTCTATGCTATTAAATTTCACACAATATTACGTAACGTTTTTGTTTTATTCGATTTGCCTACTAATCCTATAATTGCACATCCTTTTTCAAGTTCTATCCCTCCTATGAATTATTCTATATATGACATTAATCTGCTTTGCCACTTGACATTTAACTACGATTATAATCACAAACATTTTAGTTTTAATTGAACTTCATATGATTATTATTATTATTTTATGTATTCACACCTAAGATTCAATTCCCTCACCGGATATAACTTCTGATAAACCATATATATACGACTGTACAGCTTGATGATAAATTCGTTGAAAAGAGTCTCTTCGCTGAATCACTTGTTTTGATTTTCTAAATGTTACAATGGGAATTTTCCATGAGTTAAAAAATAGTCAATATAGTCATGATTAATTGCATCAATCATTTTTTTTATTTACAGCTTGATTCCACACTGTATTTTTGGTACAAGTATGGAATTTTCAGCATGGATATCGGTAGCCAAAATTTTGCAGGCCGACCATAGATATCAGGTGTGCACCGGCGTGGGCTCGAACCCCGGACCATGTGCATGGTCAGCGAGAGCCTAACCACTGTGCCACCGACGCACATGACCATATTCTTGACGATCATAGTAAGTCCGTCCACCCCTTATATCATCACTACATACAGACAACCACGGACATCAATTCGACTGGGACAACCAACGTTCAAATATTAGACCGAAGAAACAACAAGAAAGCTAGCCGAAGAATTTTTAGAGGTCTGGTTGTTACTCCAGTGAATCATCAATCAATAGACACATCGAGATAGACAAAATTTACCAACCGATATGAAGGAAATCTCTTACACAAAGGGGTCGAAGTTCAAGTCGAAGAAACAATAAGTTCCAATACAAGTAACCTAAAAGGTGTGAAAACACACAAAAACAACCAATCACGTCCAAGGTCACCGCGAGAGATGATCAATAAACTCGTGGAGAAATCTAAAAACTCACTTCAAGAAACTGAAGGGAGAAGCGCTGAAGATGTGGCCTAGCAGGGCAATAATGAACGCTTCGCAAATTAACTATCCAACTCAGAGAACACAACCACATCAATATATATATATATATATATATATATATATATCACATATATCACATATATATATATATAAATCACATTACCACAACTAACCCATTGACGTCTTTTCACTTCATCAACTGTCTGTATCCAATCTTGTTCCCAAATTTTACCAGCTGCCTCTAAAACAGCCAATAATTCACATTCCCAAAGTTGACGTAATTCAGCGATTTGACGATTCATTTCCATTGTCATTTCAGCACGTGCATACCTAACTAGTATCTTCAAGCGTTGATTCTCTTGTTCCATGCGTAGAAGTTCTTCTTCCAACAATTGCTCTTGAAAAGTAGGCTCACGATCATTAAATACTGACAGCGAGTATTGATCATCAACATCAGTCTGTATTGCTTTACACTCGGTTTCCTTACAAATTTGCGACGCTAATGATGAGGATGGGGATGCGCATGATGATGATGACTGTGACGCATCCAAGTCATCACTGTCGGTTTGTACTGCAATCTCTGATGTTATCGGATGCAAACAAGGCTGTATTGCTTGTGCACAATCCATGAATCAACAATACCCATTCAAGAGAAATGAAAAAGAAAATTAGAAAAGACGTCTAACAAAAGCAAAAAATAATAATGATTCTGTGTATGTAACACAGTGAGTTGAAAAGCAAAAAGTTGGTAGAAGAAGCATCAAAGATAGGACACCCTTCAGGTGAACATACAGAAGACAGAGGTAGGTGATGAAGATTCCTGGCCAACACCACCAACAGCAGTAACAACAACAGACAACAATCAGTCAGTCTAAATGGGAGGAACCTGAAAGAAACAACCTCCTTTACCTACCTGTCTACCTGGGAAGCATCGTTTCAACTACAGGGCGGACGGAACTGACGAGGATATCGTAGCACCGAGGATCGGGAAACCGAGACAAGCTTTCATTACTCTCAATTCTGTGTGGAGGTCAACACCACTCAGCATGTAAAATGAGATCCGGATTTTCAACTCGAATGTGAAGTCAGTCAGTGCTACATACTATACCGATCAGAGACTTGGCGCGTCATAGAGAGGATCTCAAACAAACTACAGACCTTCATTAACAGTTGTCTTCGCTCAATACCACTCAAGATCAGATGGCCGGCCAGAAAAGATCCGCAACAGGGATCTCTGGCAATGAGCGAACCAACCCATCAGGAACCGATTGTGAAACAAATAGGCACAAAGAAATGGAGATAGGTGGATTGGCCATACTCTGAGGAAGCAAACCATCAAGTGACATCACTACACGAGCCATCGGTCGAGTGGAACCCGAAAGGGAAGCGGTGAGTTGGTCGTCAGTGCAAGGGTGACTTGGAGGAGGTCATATGAAGAGGAGATGAGAGCATGTGGGCAGAATTGGAGCGGGGTGAAAAAGTTGGCAGAAAACCGAAGGCAATGGAGACGCGCGGCTGAAGCCCTATGTTCCTCTAGGAATTAAAGGATATAATAATAACACAGTGAGTATAACTCAACTCAGCGCACCAAAATAATTTAGCCCGATAATGTTAAACTTGAAAAATGTTGGACAACGACTAGCTGGTTATACAGACACATTCGCTGAAAAAGTTGAGCCAACTTTATATATGCGTAATAAATTTATCGTCTCGTTCGATGCGACGACCTTTCTCTATTCACACACACACACACAGATAGATTTCCCTGCATGTAACTCTACACATCGGTGATCAACACTCTGATCTCCTTCACTCTTTGGAAACTTGCGTTGAAGTAACCTCTCTCAATTATTTACCAAGCATACATACAATTCCAGTTTGTCGAGTTGATGGAGTGGTGATAACCATCATTGTCCATTGGGTCATACATTTTTATGGCTAATAATGAACAGATGGACAGACAGTCAGTCTCCTACAGATATGTAGGCAACACACACCGTGTTTCATGAATGATGTTACGAACAACGCTTGTTGAGCATAAACGACCTTCGACAACTAATAAAATAACCTTTTAATGTCACCTCCAACTGTGTAGAACAATCCCTCACGTGTGTCACTATCTGCGGGACTACAGTAATATTAGTAAAGCAGAGGAATTGCAGGGCCTATATCACCTTCCCTGAACATAAACAATAAACGGACATCCACTCAAAGGAAGTCCGCCTCTGTATTTTGAAACTATAGCAAAAAACGACCTGTCATTCAACATCAGAGTGTTGTTTCCCGGTCTCAATGAACTATGACGTTCTTATCCCTATTTGACGGATTGAATTCTCCGGAAGACCACAAACGTCACAAAACTGCATTGAAACTTCTTTTCTGAAACATTAGCACTACACAAGGCAGAAAAAAGATGTTGATCGCTGACGAAATCTCAGGACGGATACAGAAGGCTCGTTTGACATATGCCAGCTTACGGCATCTCTGGCTTAGTACACGTCATATCCGGCTATCAACCAAAGGACATAACTACTGCTCAGCCGTCCGCTCCGTCCTCCTTTATAGATGCGAGCGAGACGTGGCCATTGAGAGTGAAAGACATGAAAATGCTAGCTAGCTGTCTTTGATCATAGCTGCCTGAGTCCTATCTCCCGTGTGAAGTGGTATAATAAGGTGAGCAATATTGAGGTTAGACCTTAGGCGAGTGATAGGTAGGGAGGGGAAACCAATCGACGAGGCTTTGAAGCAGTCGCATTGACTGAGATGGTTAGGATATGTGTTAGCGTACGCCTAGCCGTCACCTTCCTTGACGGGCTATGCAAGATGACATAAGGTCAGGTTGGAAAAGAGTTAGAGAGTGGTGGTCAAACCGAAACATTGCTTCATCGGTCAAAGAAATCCACAACAGTTAGTTTAAGCCAGCCAGCCAGTCAAGTAGGAAGGGAGGTGTACACTTCCTGACTGGTTGGGATCCTCGGGACGGTTAACCGTGGTTGGAAACAATCGGTGACATGGCTTAAAATTGTTATTAATGGTTGGCGCAGATGCATCCACTCCCCGTGACTTATGATTTCCAATGAAACTATATTGTTCTTCGTTATTACTATTCCTTTGTTCTCACAACTCTGTTTACTGTCTCTATGATGCATTTCTTTTACTTTCTTCTCTTGCTTTGCGTGTTAAATGGAGGGAGTGTGACGACTGGAACTGGTGCACATTGATACAACGTTCTATGTTGAGACCAGTCAGTCAGCAGAAAAATAAGAACACCCGAATTAAACACACACACACACTCGATGTTATTCCCCATTACGGTTTCTTCCCATCCACCCGAACGGCCATACATCATCGAAATATAACACAACTTAAAACACAAATTCTAACAAAACGAAAAGCAAATCTCAAAATCGAAGTAACGCAGAAAGCAACTTTCCAGACACTACCGCCTATTCCATCTTTGCTTAGATATTTGACCCCATTGTTGTTGTTTTTGCTGTTTTTGTTTTTTTCGTCGTCTCATTCAGAGAAAATCTTGCTAGTGTTCGTGTGTGTGCCTGTGTATGTGTGTCAGTCTGTTTGTCGCATATCATCATCATCATCATTATCAATGAAATTGATTTGATCAGATTAGACATTCCATTTCTCTTTCTTTTTGAAGACTACTAACTGGTTCGTTGGTTGGTTTCGTCCAATTCATCTGCTTACTGGTTACTCTATCGCATACCACAGTTGTACACTTACTACTCATAACGACATACTACTGCAACAACAGGAAACAAGAGCCAGACAACAGATCCTTTATTTAGGAAATCGACACATATTTATAGATTTTCATATACATTATTATAGATTATTTTAAGCAAACAAACACAGTCTTCTGATTGATGGTTTTTCGCTTAACTTTAATCTTTCATCTCCTCTTTGTGGCTGTTTATTGAAGTTCAGATTATCTATCTGCAAATAGTATCCGCCTACGTAAACAAAGTCTCCTGTGATTGGTTGTTGAGTCAGTCAGTCTTTGTTCTTGTTTTTTTCTCATGACCAATAATTGGGACGTAAACATTGACGTGTAAATTACTGTCTACCAATTTTGGCTAGCAGACAGCTCTTACCATACTACTATTACTATCAACGTCCAACAACTTTGAGAGTGATATGAGTCATCATACACATGCACACACGCCTGTATATCAATTACTAATAGAAGGATTGAAGTCACCTCCATGTACATACAGCACGCACGCATACACACACACACACACAGAAGTCCACTTTTATAGAACACAGCTCAGTCGGTTATCACCGCCAATCTGTAGGATGATAATTCTAGGGTCATATGATACTATACAGCAAAGTACTGATTTTTTCATGTCTGCATCAGTCTGACTAGGCAGGCTAGTGGATAACAATCAATTGATTTGTATGACCAGTCGTCGTTCACAGCTTTTCACATAATCGTCAACAAGGACATGTGAAATGTCCTCTTCCTTTTCGTCAGATGAAAGAATTAATTAATCTCATGAGTGGGATATCAATCAGTATAATGTTGTTATTACTAAGTATAGTACACCTGTTATAAACAACAGCACATTAACAACATTCTAAGTACAAATTTTATTATGGTTCACAGTACTACGTCAGTAGAATAGAATAGGATAGAATACGGAACCACCGATGCTGGACTTGGACGCGCTGACGACGAATACAGCTTGACCACCACAACAGCTGCCTGTTTACACCCCCCCGTCCCAAGCCGCCTCTCTCTCTCTCTCGCTCGCTATTTCTATTCAAGTCGGGACACACAATGACGCGAGATGAGATGGGAAGTATGTGTAACCGTATCCTTATACGAAAGTGAGCAACAACCAGCAGCCTACCAAGAAAAACAATCATACATCTATACGCATATCTGGCTAACAGTGTGGCGTGGATGAGTGAAGATGATAATTGCGAAAGGACATCTCCTGGTCAAGAAAATAGATAGGCGTGAACGAAAATATTTACAGATCTAGTCCCCCCCCCACCACCACCACACTAACATGTGACATGCCTGACTACATATCACGAATATTGTTTAATCACACCATTATTCCTTTTAGTGCACTGTGCGTCGGTGGCACAGTGGTTAGGACTCTCGCCAACCATGCACATTGTCCGAGGTTCGAGCCCTCGCCGACGCACACCTGATATCTATGGTCGGCCTGCAAAATTTGGGCTACCGATATCCACGCTGAAAATTCCATACTTGTACCAAAAATACAGTGTGGAATCAAGCTGTAATCAAAAAAAAGATCGCGGAAACCACTTATATATTCTTTTGCTCATGTTTGTTTCTAGGCCTAGATATCTCTTCCGTGCCCCCAGGGTGAGTCAGTCAGTCAGTCATCTTTAGCCGCTACGATGATGAGTGATTATTTATGCACGCTGGTAGCATAATTAGGCCATGGTAATGAAGGCTGGCTTACTTTCCACTTGATTTGTACTATCCTTTAAAAAATTGTTTGTCAACTTCGGCGTTAAACTGAGTCAGGTAGGGAGATGCAGACTTCCGGGTTGGGGGCCTCGGGACTGTAGAAATCCATGGCTGGAGACAATAGGTGACATGGTTCAAAATTGTTGTCAATGGCCAGTGCAGATGTATTCAGTCTCTGTAATCTTTCATATTCCTTTCTACCATTACCCATTCTGTTTCACTTTTATACTTGTCAAACTCTATTGATTCTCTTCACTCATCTTCTTGTCTACCTATGTGTGCTATTTGGAACGTGGCAACTCGAACTGGTGCACTTCGGTGCCAAGTTCTATGTTGAATTCAGACAGGCAGACAGACAGAACTTCGGCGTAGTTCTTCAGAGAAGCATTTCCGTATGGAGCGAACTGTTCTGCGCAGCCACTCCGGTGTAGTGAATTGGATAAATTAAGTGAATTTTCCTTGTCATCGACTAGATCTTTAACAAGTGCTGCTTCTGGGTAAGGGAAGGAATTTTTATTTTTGATTATAGCTTGATTCCACACTGTATTTTACGTACAAGTATGCAATTTTCAGCATGGATATCGGTAGCCCAAATTTTGCAGACCGACCATAGATATCAGGTGTGCGTCGGCAGCGGATCGAACCTCGGACAATGTGCATGGTCGACGACAATCCTAACCACTGTGCAACTGATGTAGGTATTTTGGATTTTCATAATGACATTTTCAGCTTTTCTGTGCATAAGAGTGTTAAACTCTTATATCCAGTAGACGGCTTTATTGGTAAAGAGAGGCGTGATTTCTTCTCCGATTCGATTCCAGTGTTTTTTAGTATTTCCTGAACAGTTAACTAAGGTGAAGAGTGGAAAAATGACAGAGAGAGAGAGAAATACAATGCCCATTTCGACATTCAGAAGACAAAAGAAAGTTTGAGCAAAGAATATTCTTCTCGATAAATTCTTTGTCCGGCTGTACACATAAAACATGTAGCAGGTGAACTTGTAAGGTAAGAGTAAGAATATGGCGAATAACTTTGAAAGCTTTACTAAAATCGATTTTGTGCTGTACATCCACCACAAGATGAGCTAGAATAGAGCTGCTGCTGTTGAACGTTAAAATAGGAGTGGTTGGAAAAAGCCGGTGTACTTCAGAGGCACTGAACGTTCTTCTTTTTTACCACATTCCTTAAGGTGGTTTGTGTTGTTAATTTCACCGGTGTCATCATCACCTAAGCTCAAAAATTGAGTAGGTTTCCCATTTCTTTTCTATTGTGTCAGCCTTTTTCCTAGTGATAAGGACAAATGTCTCGGAATGAAATACTGTACTATACATGGAGGTGACTTCAATCCTTCTATTAGTAAGTGATATACAGGCATGTGCATGTGTACAATGATTCATATCACTCTCACAGTTGTTCGTCGTTAATAGTAGTAGTATGCGGTTATGAGTAGTAAGTGTACAACTGTGGTATGCGATAGAATAATCAGTAAGCAGATGAATTGGATGAAACCAACCACCAGCCAACAAACCAACCAATGAACCAGTTAGTAGTCGCCAAAAAGAAAGAGAAATGGAATGTCTAATCTCATCAAATCAATTTCATTGATAATGATGATGATGATATGCGACAAACAGACTGACACACACACACAAGCACACACACGAACACTAGCAAGATTTTCTCTGAATGAGACGACGAAAAAAAAAACCGCAACAACAACAACAACAATGGGGTCAAATATTTAAGCAAATATATAACAGAAGGTACATCACTATCTGGTTAGAGTAGTTACTTGTTTTGTGTTTAGGTGTTCATAATTTGAACTGATTAACAGTGAAAATCTAATTGTTTAATTGATTAGCCAGCCAGCCAGTCTGGTTGGCTGTGAGGACAGAGTGACTACTACAAGAAAAGAAGACATCAAAAGTTGACTGACATTCACAAAACGACCATAATCATTTCTATGAACGGGAATTTCAAGTTTCTAAGATCTGTAAAGGAGGTGAGCGTCGGTGGTACAGTGGTTAGGACGTTCGCCAACCACGCTCACGTGGTTCGGGATTCGATCTCCGCCCACCAACGCACTCCTGCTTTGCAACGCTAAGCCAGAAATAAGACTGGAAAAAAGAGGAAAGTTTGGGTATGAAGCCGGCAGCAAGCCCATCTTGTAATAATAAATAATCACCACTGATTCAGACATTTGAAGTCTCTAGCTTGAAGCCGCCTATGTTCCGCTGGGAACGTGAAGGAATACAAAACAAAAAAATAAGATCTGTAAGAAATCTCAGCGAATAGAAAACTGACATTCACGGTGTAGATTCTCGTCATTTTGGAAGTGGTTTTATTTTGTTTCATAGTATAACTTGTAAAACCAGTATACTCATGCCTGTCTGTCCGGATTCAACATAGAACTTGGCACCGAAGTGCACCAGTTCGAGTTGCCACGTTCCAAATAGCACACATAGGTAGACAAGAAGATGAGTGAAGAGAATCAATAGAGTTTGACAAGTATAAGAGTGAAACAGAATGGGTAATGGTAGAAAGGAATATGAAAGATTACAGAGACTGAATACATCTGCACTGGCCATTGACAACAATTTTGAACCATGTCACCTATTGTCTCCAGCCATGATTTCTACAGTCCCGAGGCCCCCAACCCGGAAGTCTGCATCTCCCTACCTGACTCAGTTTAACTGTCGTCAAGGATTTCATGGATTGATGAGGCCATGTTTTTGTTTGGCCACCACTGGCTTATTTCCAACCTGCACCTATATCAGCTAGTAATGCCCGTCGGGGGAGGCGGTGGTTAGGCATGCGCAGCACCTGAACTAGCCATCTCAGTCTATGTAACTTTATAGCCTCGTCGATTGATTTTCCCTGTTTGCCCAACACCCTACGCCTAACGTCAACATTACTTACCTTATTAAACCACCTAACGTGAGAAAGAGATCGGAGACATCTATGATCAAAAACAGTCAACCTTTTCATGTCTTCAACTCGTATTGGTCATGTTTCAGAGTCATAGAGAAGGACGGAGCGAACTGGTTAGCAGTACACACATCCCTTGGTTGATAGCCGGATGTCACCCCTACGCCAGAGATGGTGGAAGTCAGCGAAAGCAGCTCGAGCTTTATGGATCCGTGCTGAGATTTCGTCGCCAATCAGTCCATCGGTGATACTGATACAACTTCCCAAATAGGTGAAGTGGTCAACATGTTCTATCACTTCACTGCCTATCACTAAACTAGGAGTTGACGTAGTCCAATCCTGTAGCAGCATCCTACATTTTACAGGGGCGAATCGCATGCCAAACATACGAAGATTGCTTTTCAAGGTGTTCAGAAGACTCATGAGACATCAAGGTGTATACATGGTTATCTTGATTTCCTGAGTAGGAGAATACAAAATAATGAAACACTCTCGTGTGCACTGAAAACAGATGGACACTGAAAGAATATTATCGATTTCTATTGACAGGGGAATTGTGTCACATTTAAATTAGAGATTATAAATCATGGAAATACCTCTTGAAATTATACAACAGCACTTACTGCTGTTCCATGAAACATCAAGTTTTTCTTCAAATTTTTCTAAGGCATGGTAAATTGAACTTTTAATATCGTCGAAGGCTAAGCGTAAATTGTCTGGTGTATTTGATGTAGACGGTCTGTAAATGAATAAAAAGAAAAACGTGAGAGGAAGATTTGACGTGACTGATAGTATCAAGTATGAATTCAACAACAAAAGGCAGTACTAGTAGTATTAATATATGTGTAAAACTTGGACACTGTGGTAGTAAGTTATTCCATATTAGTTTGTTTATTGAATGTATCAAACAGTGAAACAGTAATATTTACTGTTATCATTGAAGAAATTAGTAGCAACAGAAATATAAGTAGGATTTCATCATGAGCTGACACCAGTTAGAGAACCATTGGAAAACCTGGGACTTTTGGACAGCCGTTTCGTCCTAGTTTGGAACTCTTCATCAGTACCCACCCACTGGGGTGCGAACCCAGGACCTTCTGGTTACAAGGCGAGCTGGTAGACCATTATGACACTGGGACCCGACCCGATGGTCAGGCAGTTCATGAATTCTAACTCACTAGCGACTTTCCCTATTCAGGCAGGTAGTTACCTGGGATTCCAGTGAGAAGTCGTGACCAACAGGGTGCAGGAGTTCGGGTGCGGGGACAATTACTTGCCGAAAACATCGGCTAGGGGTCACGCTATGTCATGAATTGGCAGAAGTTAGAATTCATGGGCCATTGGATCGGATCCCAGCGGCTTAATGGTATGCGAGCTTGCCTTGTAACCAGAAGGTTTTGGGTCTGAACCCCTGTGGAGGTGGGTGCGTACCGATGAAGAGTCCCAAACTAGGACGAAACAGCTGTCCAGTACTCCCAGGTTCTCCAGTCGTTCTCTAACCAATGTCAGCTCATGATGAAATCCTGTAACCAACCAAATCCCTTCAAACCAACACTTAAATAAAGAAATATAAATAAATTACATTAGAAATCAGAAAGAAAATGATATTACCGCCACTTGTAGAAAAGAAAAAAAGAACAATAATGAGATAATGGATGAAAATACGAAAATAATAAATCTCAATAGAAGGCTTTACTGATTTATTGCATCATCATGTGCCGCCGCTCAACAGCTAATATACCAAGAAGGGGGGAACAACTCCACAACGTAGTGAGCATAATTACATGCAAACAAATATACATACATGTACAAGATGACGATAGTCAGGTCAGGAACTTTGACTGGAGGCTTCTAAAATTCAGCTCTATAACACTTTCACTCTAAGCCTAAGAAAGCAAAGAAATTTTATCTAGTCATCTTCCTCTAGATTCCGAAAAATACACTCACTGAGAGACCTGTTGGTGTCGACCTGTAAAACTACCGAATAGTGCTGATTTGAAGTGACTTCTGATCTAGATTCATTTTTTTAGTTTGATTACAGCTTGATTCCACACTGTATTTTTGGTAGAAGTATGCAATTTTCAGTATGGATACCGGTAGCCCAAATTTTCGCAGGCCGACCATAGATATCAGGTGTGCGTCGGCAGGGATCGAACCTCGGACCATGTGCATGGTTGGCGAGAGTCCTAACCACTGTGCCACCGACGCACAGTACTTTTCTTGTCAGGGTGGATATCTTACACTGAAAAGATGTAGTGCCAATACAATGAGGAAAAAGATTATAAATTCACAGACATAGAAAAAGCACATACAAACCGTAGAAAATAATGACACCTAGAAAGTAATAGAAGTTACGTTTATAATTGATGATAAATATATAAGCACCTTTTCAACCTGTCATGAGGACAAATGCAAACAAAATTTTACGGAAAAAAACAGAAACCACTTACAAGTCAGAAACCGAATAATTCAGAGGTGACGTCTCTGACTGCAGGCAGCACTGGATCACGTGGGCTCGAATCTCACAAGGGATGTGAGTTCCTTCGAAATGCCAAACACGCCGTGATGACCAGTGTCAACAGGCAGGAAAACTAGATCCAAGAGACTTCATGAAGATGACCTCCAACCAACTAATAATGATACTAGTATTAGATAGTTGCAGGCAATCGACCACTGAGCTACTCGGGCTCGCGATTGACCTACTGTGGTAACGTCTCTGACTGCAGCGCTGGGTGACGCGGGTTCGAATCTCAGAAGGGAAATGAGTTCCTTCAAGGCAGTTGCAGATACGCCTTGCTGATGAATGCACGAAACCTAAGTCAAGCAAAGCTTCCTGTAGCCGATTGCCTCCAACTATCCAATATCATCAAATCAATGTGCACCGTGATGGCGAACTACCTAATAGTGGCATGGTGGCCACATTGCGAAACCTGGCTGACTGATAGAATTCAGTCTGCACCAAACACCAAAGACTAGACATGTCACACTAGTGTCCAATCAAAATGATACTAGTAATCGTAACAATTATGTGTGCATCGATGTTTCAGCGGTAGGACGCTCATTAACATGCTACGCGGTCTGGAATTCGATGCCCGGCCGACACACTACTAAATCTCTCCAAATTCTGTGATAAGGCCGGTAAAGTGAGAAGGTTGGGCATGAGGCTAACAACTCTAAGCCATAACAATTTTAAAAATAAAAAACACTGTTACCGAGAATTCAAAAGCTCTAGCTTGAAGCCCTACTTTCCACTCGAACAGTAAACGAATAAAATAATTAGTAATAATAATATAAATAATACTCACATGTCAGTTGTTAAGTGTAATAGTGAATTCACTTCATGCCTAATTAATTGGCTAGGACAAAATCCACTATCGAAGCTGAAATTCTCATGGTTATTGATATGATCACTGGTGTTAGTGGTGTTACTGTTGCCTTCCTCTTCTTCAGTTATTGCTGGTGCTATAGTAGATTTTGATATATAGTTATTTTCTTTCAACCTCTCCTCCACCACTATATCATCACATTCATTATTGTTTTCATGCTCAATAACCACCCCCAATGATGATAACGATGAAGGCAGTGTTAAAGTATCAGAATGTTCCCCTTTCAAATTATTATCATTATCATTATTATTAATTCTACTATTAATGGTAGACTGTTCCATAATGTGTAATGTTGGCAGGGATTCTGATGATTCCGACGGTGAACTACGTAAACTTGCAGCTACACGTGTCAAAACTGGTTCACGGTAGACAGCAGTGAAAGGCGACATACAAATTAATTTGTCTACACTGGAGGAGACAATATTACATGCAGTATTAATCGGATTTGATTCTTCTTTGGCAGTATCGCCTGATAATGGCCTACAAAAACAGTGAAAAATATTTTTTTAAAAACCATAGCATTAAACTATGCATGAAAGTTTGAAGCGGTGGCACATCATCATCATCATCATCATCACATGAGGATTATCACTCTCACGTGTGATGTGAGATCGGGCCATAGCAACACCCCGGAAAGCCTCTTAAAGCCATCTCGCCAACTTCATATAGGAGCACAGTTAACGTCAGAACCCTCTGCCAAATCGGACAACAGGCATCACTAGCAAGAACTTTGGCATCTCGAGCCATGGATGTATGTTGTGTTTCGGAGATATGCATACAAGACCCGAGTGTGGTCATTCACTTACCCTCACCCGGCCAACAAAGGTGAATTTACAAAATTCACTAGAAGGGTGTCAGGAGACCGCTCAGCTAGTTCGCGAGGACTCGCAGGTGTAGCGATACATGTGAACGTTAGGGAATAAAAATCACTTCTTGACTGGATCCTAGTAGATAGTTGTATGCGTGTGGTCCGTCTGAACGGGTCACCCCCTCGTTGTCTTTTCATAGTCTCCGCTTACGCTCCAACAGACTGCCGTTCGAATGAACTAAAGGATGACTTCTACCTGAAACTGTCTAATTTGCTGCAAAAAGCAAAACGTTCAGATATAGCTGTTTTAGCAAGCGACTTCGACGACCCAGTAGGGAAGTTGTACCAGACTGAGAAGTATGAAGGTGGTACTATAGAGTTCCCTGCCGGCAAACTGACAACGGTGATCGTCTTCTACAGTTTTGCACAGATAACCATCTGTTCCTAGTCAGCACTAACTTTAGGCACAAAGAGAGACACTGTGTAACCTGATGACCTCCATCACCATCATATAATTTCAAGTAAATCTATATTTTTCTTCGTTATTACTATTCCTTTTGTCTCACACTTCTGTTTACTGTCTCTATTTTGCATTTCTTCTACTTTCTTCTCTTGCTTTGTGTGCTACATGGAGGGAGTGTGACGACTCGAACTGGTGCACATCGGTGTAAAGTTCAATGTCAATCAGTGATTAGGCTTATTAGGGAAACAGGTTGCAAAAGGCGCAGATGCATTCAATTGTTGTATTCTCGTATATCCACTACAGACCGTCATGTTTTTCACCGTTACTATATTCTTTCACCCTTGCACTCCTGTTTATCATAGTTCTTTTAAATTTCCCCTTTCTCTCTCTCCTTGTTGTTTGCCTTTATGCGCCATAGAGAGTGTAGCAAATTGAGGTTTTGTGTGTTCGTGTCAAACTTTATGACACTATTATAACACAACTGGCTCTTAATTCCATGATGACCACTGGCAGTAATTCATGATTTTAGATAATCGAAAATACAACAAACATATCTAGGCATTTCCTGACTATGAACTTAAAAGTGCGACAAAAAATATATATAATGATTTGCATTCCTCTGAATAGGATGCAGTGATCGATAAATAGTAGTGAAAAGAAAACATTTAATGAGCTTAGATATTCACTAAAACATTTATGTGATGAGATAAGAGAAATTAGATGATTATTCAATCAAAATGACGGGAAAAAAAAGTGGATTTGAAATGCAGGCAACTTCTTTACCTTGCAAATATTTAATTTAAAAATGAGGCTGAATATTGTTTAGAAAAATTTATATTGAACTTTACTATTCATCTGAAAATACAGCAGAGAATAAAAGCTGTTTTGAATACATGTAAAGAATTACAACTAGCAGTTAGACTAGATGGGCTCTTAACGAACCACTGTGATTCAAACCAAGTGAGCAATCTCCCACTATCTCTTACTCTCTTTTGCCCCCTTTGAGCTACGAGTGGAGCTTTGGGATACAAGCTGAAGATTTGAAGTTTCGGTGACGGTGGTGCTATTTTATTCAACGAGGTGGCGGGGGGGGCATCTCTGACATCAACGCCAATCTTCCTTCTCTCATGAGTTTAAATACCGGCTAAGAGGAGTTTTTTACAAGTTGACCACGGATTGATATCAGTTAGAGAAGCATTGAAAACCAGCTAGGGAGTACTGGATAGCTGTTTCTTCCGTCCTAGTTTGGGAATCCTCGGTAGTACGCACCTAACCCCAGGGTTCGAACCCAAGACCTTCCGGTTACAAGGCCAGCAAGCTCGTATACCGTTCAGCCACTAGGATCCGTGATCAACTCGTAAACAACAAAACAACGCTTACAAACCACAGCATAGAATAGGCGGAGTTTAGCAACGCATCGGCTGAGAGTCGAAACTCGACCAAACATGACTACCACTGAACCACCGACGCAATTAAGGCATTATATTTACAACAATTCACACAGCTGTATCCATTCACATCATTAGGAGAAAAATTCATGCAAAGGAATGCAGAGAATAGCCTCATTTAGCAGCAGTCACGCAGATCTCAGAGAACAAACCAAATTATGACCATAAATTTTTACCACACCGAATCCACTACAACTTCCAGTTGCATATACATATATATATATATATATATATATATATATATATATATATATATGCGATATCTATTTGGAATGCAAAACTTTCTACGGAAAGACATGAGTCTATACCGTGTATCTTAAATTCATTTGAACGTAGCCAAAAAAATCAACAAAGCATTTGAATAACTATTCTCTTATGATTCTATCATATTTTAAAAACTCTTTTTATTTCCACCGTTTTACTTTTCACTGCACTTTTGATAGGTCATACCATACCAACTGGTAGAAAATATATTTTTAAATTTAAAGACGTATGATTTGAAGACAATGAAAGCTTTATTATATACTGACTAACCTGACTAAATATTCTTCTGAAAGAATGGTGACGTCATCACTCGTAGACGTATCGATCGGTGCTTCATTGGCTTCAGTGCGTTTTAGCTACCAACCAGAACAACACAATATATAAGAGCAGGTAAAGCGAATACCTATATGCGTATTGATTGTTGGTTCAGATGATGCAGACTGTGCGAATTTAGACAAAGTCTGTTTCAATAATGCATAAATCTCGAATGAGCTCTGATAACTTTTACTTATTATTACAAGTAATCATAAAACAACCCAGAACACGTGAAAAAAAACACCGAATAACGCAAACATATCATAAAACTTCCTGTCAGTAGTAACAGAAATTTACCAGATAATGATAACATGTGCTAGAAATAACAACCACGTAATGATAATAATACTAATAATAATAATAATAGGAATAACATAAAGTGGGCTCACATATAATACAAGAAGGAACTTGAGACTACTACGCAAATGTCAGGACTTTATTACTTTACTAAGATAAGCCGACAAAGTGGAATGGGGACTCACGTATAAGTTACTTAAGGTTACACTTTACCACAACTTTTCACTCTAATGAGAACTTCAATAGTAATGAGCATTTGCTAATAACAATCAGTCTAGTGTTAGGTGGTATCACCATGCATACTGACTACATTAAGAATTTAACCGACACTTCTAATTGACCAATCCAGACTCGATGGCTACTCCTATCACGAAGAAAGTTACACACCTTATTACATCAAAACGAGTAAACGTTAGCTACCAAAGAAAAATATTCTTTCACTTCATCTCTATGCAAATCTTTCATACCACCTGCCAAAGCTTACCATACCACGTAGGAACATGGAATAAAAAAGAGTAAGGAAACTTCTGTGAATCACATGATAAAATCAAGACCATGGTGAGAAAAGAGGTCGTACGCGTTGTTGTGGTACACGAAATTCTAGCTCTATGTTATATAGTGCCAAAGCTTCCACTACACAAAGCGGATACACTTGCGTATCCCTTTCGACAAACTTTGTAGACTATAATATAGGTTACATCACATGTTTTGTGGTCACTATCTACCATATGTTTCAGTATAAGTGAATTAATAATAATAATTTCGCTTTTAGGCTTTCATTGCTCAGCTTAGTCAAATCGAAAAGTACTCTCTAACGTGGCGGGATGTGTTTCTCGCGAACCTCCTGTGTACCTAGCTCCACAAGAGCAGATAGATATATAAATGTGGTAGATAGTGACCGTGAAACATGTGGTGTAACCTATATTATATTCTACAAAGTTTGCCGAAAGGGATACAAGTGCATCCATTTTGTGTGGTGGAAGCTTTGGCAGAATATAACGTAGAGATAGAACTTTGTGTACCAAAACAACGTTTACGACCTCTTTTGTCACCATGGTATTGGTTTTATCATGTGATTCACAGAAATTTCCTTACTCTTTGTTATTCCATGTTACGTTTTGTTTTATTTCACTTCACGTTATCACATTTTAACGTCTTACCTATTTTATTGTTGTGACCACTTCACTCATCTTATTTTCCTACCTTAATTTTATTTTATTTATTTAAACGCAGAAAAAACTTGGTACAATATGGCACCAAGAAAGATGCGCCATACAATTGTGGGCCCGGGCGCCCAGACCGAAGCAGGTGGCTTTCTTAAGGGACCACCCCCCGACCCTTTGACTTGAAGTCCAATCTGCAAGGCAGCGGAGCAGCGTTCACATGTATTGACATTTTTGAAGAATTTACACATTAACTTATGCGTAGTGACCTGGAAGTGTACATATACACTGTCAATACGATTTACAAATGTAAGACATGATGAGAATAATACGATCTTGAAATATGACTTGCTTACCATCTTTGAGCGCTTCAGTTTAGCAGATGAATTTGAACGACGTTTTTTCGTGAAAAATGACATTTAAGCCGACTGGTATAATTTGACAGTTGGTGATTTTCAGGCTATTTACTATAGAATACCACTAGAAACTAACATAGAGAAAACGAATTAGTGTGCGGAAATCTAAATGGGAATAAAGAATTAACAGACATTCCGTTTGCATGCAAATTGCATCAGTCTTAAAGTCCCCATTAGTGAGAACCAGTGGTTGAAGAGACATTAAAATGCCTCAAGAGCTGTTGTGCGTCCACTTTTAGAAGCTGAAATCTTAGACACCTACGATGTCCTTTTTAGGAAATATGAATATCGATCTTTCGCGAATGTACAGTGTCCTATTTCACTTCCTCCGGACTTCCCGCAAACACATGTTTGTACTTAATCAGGAGCAAAGCTGTACTACAGAATATCATGTACCATACGTGTAAATTGAGAATACCCAGTTGTCTAGGCTAAAAAACATGATTACACTTTAAACATTAATTAAATCGATACTTCATACATACATGTATAACATTTTGTACCGGATATCTGCAGAACAGCTACCACAGTGAAGGTCTGTAACCAAAAAACGTTCAGTTTGCGGCTACGTATCGTATCACACTTCATATGAAAATGAGTGGAATTTTTAACCAGTGTTCAGTGTGATTCCTAAGATGTGCCGTAATAAGGTTGCACAATATCCGAGCTTTAGTCCCTGTTAAGCGAATTATGATGATTCGCTAATGATTTTCATAACTGATTCGACGGGCTAGCCCACTTACAAGTTTTTGCCAATCTGAGAAGTACGCATTAGGAAGAATAACAGCATACAGTTACTTCTGGATATCAATTTGAGATGAAATTGGAATCCGAGGTCAATTGGGAATGCACATATTGTCTGGCAATAAAAAACATGGACTTCTTGAGAAAGTAACCTACAAAATCTATAATTATGGTCTGAAATTCCAGAAAGAGGAAACAAACCACTTGACAAATCGTATCAGGTGACGCTAACACTGAATTGCATTTCTTTGGGTGCCTGCAGAATATGGAAACAAGTTGTCTTAGATAGAAGTCAACTCGCGAAATATCATAAAACTTAATAGTCGGGTGTACTCAACTGGTCTTGTTCTTCTCTATATCTTGTATGCTTTAACGTCATTAACCAATGTGTTGTGTATATCAGCTGAGGGCTAAGTGATATTTGTGTATTACTGCATATGTAAAACTTAGGCATTGTGGTAGTAAGTAATTCCACATTAGTATGTTTATTAGATGTGTCACTCAGTGAAACAGTATTATTTACTGATGTTTGCTACTGACTCCTGAAGGGACACAACTGCGTAAGAATATACGTCAACTTTAACTGATCACATAGGCATGAAAATGAACAGTCCAACTTCTCTTAAGTCATAAGCAAACATAAATTGTAATCGTAAACGACCTAGAAACCTGGAAAACCATACATAAATGCAATCAAAGTACACACCCACCAGCTGAGAAACAGAAAGCGTGAATTCAGATGAATGGTTCTAGAAAAACAATTCTGATGCATTAAAAGACTTTTCTGTGAAAATTGTGAAATAAAATGGAAAGTACAAATTTAATTTTAATTATTTATTGTTGCATACTGGTTCATTTATCATTTCACCGATAAGTGCAGCAGTAGGCATGTAACGCAAAAACACAACGTTGTCAACTGCTATTGGTTGAGCAGCTAGCCGACGAAACGTACGTCCTTGTACCCTAATTTATCCGCAGTTTTCCAGAATTGAAAAGTCAGACATGTAGTCTAAGTTTTTAATGGGAAAACGCTGATCATTTCCTACCACAACACTTAGTGACGTTTTAATACTAAAGTGAGTCAGAAAATTTTCACGTCATGAATCTATCCCTGAACAAGACGTTCCCAAAAGCGTTTACAGTGCTCCCAAAGTCCCCACCTCTGCAGTTCTCCTGAAGTTTGCTTCTGAGTTTCTGCAGTGTATTGAAATTCAGTGAAAGGAAGGAGTTTTGTCTAATATATTTTCTTTCTCCTACCATCAGTACATGACCACTTTACTACTTTACGATATAAGAATCCACTGATGCGACACTACTTCGGGTCAGATGACGCTCACGTCTTACTTTCCAAACGCAAGCACGATCTCAGAGAGTCCAAGCGACACTGAATTTCACTGAACTCCTCAAAGTTACACCTGATACTAATACTTTTCAGTGATATTTAGCGATTCTACATCTTAGATGGCTTGCAGTACGGCAGATCTTTCCTAAACCTGCTGTTACTTAGTGGAGCACGATGAATGAGACTGCAATCCCATTTTCCCTTAGATTTTCTGATTCCTTCCACTCCCATGGCATCGTCGAGATATAGGTGTTAGTAATTCCCCAGAATTATTAGCCGCAGCAATAACCACTGAACATTGGATGCTGACCCTCACTGTTTGAGTTGCTGTGTTTCGCTGAAGGATTACGGTCAAGCATCCATGCCATTTGGCACGTCGTCGCGTTACGTTTGTTCACAATCCCTAGCTAATTAAACAGTCATCGACGCAATTCGATTTTGTCCCGCGATATACTTCGTAATTTCGACGATCAGTTTTGGTGTTTTGCTTTGCCTTTGGTCGGCGCGGAAGGAATACTGTAGAAGTTGTGGACACAACTGCGCAATAAAACTTTACACCAACCATTGGCGCCGACACCCTCAGTGTCTAAAGAGGTTTCCAATTATGCTTATATTGAACAATGCTTCAAGCCATTCGAAAAGTTGGAAATAGAAAAGATATATTTTAGAAAAATGCAAGCTTGATAGAAACGGTGAGAAGGCAGAACAAGTTTATGACGGGAAAATGAAAGCAATTCCGGAAAAGTAATATTCGTGAAAAAACTGAATAATAGGAAATTAAAGAATATGGAAACTGTAAAATGTTGAGAACCAGGGAGGTAATTGTGCAGCTTATATAATCCAATGGAGCTGGAATTATTCCTGCACAGATTTTTCCACAAAAGTCCATTTTTCATTGGGAGTGGTGCGATGTCGTTGATGGGTGTTCGAACAAGTCTGATACACATAGAGATAGGTAACTGCATGTGAAGTACAGAGCTCCTACAGTCAGCACTCTTTCTGGTTTCTTAGCCAGCACAGGGCTGAGTTCATGGCACGTAGTTATTTTCTCCAACCTTCGGAACACTGAGAGTGGTCTATGGCACTTCGAATTTTAATGAATCCGCCCTTGCTAAGCCGTAAAGAAGTTCTGTGGATTCCCCCGAAACCACGCGTCGGTTATCTTGTAGTGGAATATTCTCCACATTGTCCGAATGGATAGTGGTGTGTCTTTTACTTTCTGACGTACCATCTGTCTACCCGGTGAGTTGATAAAATCTTCAGCTACTAATCAGTTGTTACGGCACTTGCTTTTATGACATGAGATCCTTGTGTGTCGGTGGCACAGTGGTCAGGACTCTCACCGACCATGCACATGGTCCGAGGCTCGATCCCCTGCCGACGCACACCTGATATCTATGGTCGGCCTGCAAAATTTGGGCTACCGATATCCATGCTGAAAATTTCATACTTGTACCAAAAATACAGTGTGGAATCAAGCTGCAATAAAAAAATGACTAGCTCTTTTATCTATAGAATGCTACGTATTCGTTAGTTAACCCCGTGATTCACTTGCAAGGTTTTCCTGAAATTAGCTATTGCTCCTCTGAAACTTCACACCACCCCAATTACTCAGAGCCAAGTATATTATTCCTAATTGTGGTGGACTGGATTATGCGTCAGATAAAGGGAAACGAGAAGACAGGAATTTCCTGACCGACGCGAAGAACCTAGAAGACCTGGATTTCGCGCGTGGATGATTTATGTTTGATGTCACACAAAATTGAAGACTTACAAGCGAAAACTGGCAAACTGGTCAGAGAAGCAGCAAAGACAGGACTCCAAGTGAACATAGACAAGACAGAGGCTATGAAAATAACCAGCCGACAACAACAACACCAGTAACATCCAGCGCCAATCACCATCAACGACGGGAGGGATTTGAAAGAGGTTACTTCATTCACTTATCATCTAGGGAGCATCGTCTCAACCACAGGCAGTCGGAACGGACGAGGATGTCAAATCGAGCGAGAATCGGGAAGGCAGGCGAGAAACATATTCATCAACCAACTGAAACCAATGTGGAAATCTTCGTCACTGAACTCAGCATCAACAACAAAATTCGGTCGGATATTCAATAAAAACAACGTCAAGTCTGTCAGCTCTTCTATAGGGATCAGAAACTTGACGGGCGGGAGGGTCACAAGGAATATTTCCAACAGTCTGTTGCAGACCTTCATCAACCAACAACTGTCTTCGCTCTATACTGAAGATCAATAAGATGGACGGGCCGGAAAGAATCACTAACAAGAAACAACTATGGGAACAAACAAAGCAAGAACCAATCGCACAACAAATATGCAGGAGAAAGTGGAGATGGATCGGACACTCGCTGAGGAGGCCACTGGGTGACATCGCGCGTCAAGCCATCGAGTGGAACCTGAAAGGGTAGCGGCGTGTGGGACGTCAGTGCAAGGGTGACATGGAGGAGATCATGTGAAGAGGAGTTGAAACAGTATGGACTAACATCGATGCAGGTGAAAAGTACAGCAGAAGACAGAAGCAAATGGAGAGGTGCAGGTGAAGACCGATGTTCCACTAGGAACCCAAGGGAGCAATAATAAATAATAATACTTATCCTTTCTTGAAAACCTCCATTTATTTCAATTATGCGTTCCTCAATTGTTGATGCTAATAGTACATGAGATGATCTATCCTGGTTAGGTCTTCCCCAGTGAAAGTCAGACACGAACACTACATGAATATCGCTACCACTCGACAACATTAACGGATGGTCGTTCGTCAGCAAGCCACCTGTCACGAATAGTTTAATGCCTGACCATTCGGGTTCGTCGTCCCCATAGCTTTAGTAAAGATGGGGGTATTGAACAATCCCCAAAAAACTCAATGTATCAGCCATTTTCTCAAGATTTAATTGTGGTAAGTTGAATTCACCAGAAATAAGGATATGAACGCGTTCGAATAAATCGAACAATCAAAGATCGTTTTCTGTATCTATGAGGATTGAAACATGGTGAATTATTGGATTTTCAAGGGACATAAGCTACATAGCTTCGCACTGGTGTGATTGTATATGTCTATCCTCCTTTCAAACCATCTTCGATAAACGCAACTTTCATCAGAAGCGTTATATTCTCCTTTCCCTAGTTGGGGTGGATATTGAGAACGGGCTGACCACCAGCCTATGTAGGCCAGGCTAAAGTGTCCGCCTGTAGTGTGAGTAGAGTCCAGGCCTAACAGGACGGATGGCCAAACATCAGTCGCCAGCGTTAATTTCAGCTAAAACCAACTGAAAGAATACTCGAAATATTCCAGTTTATCTATTTTGTATCGTAGAAACCCATCTGAAGGTAGAAGCAAATCGGATCGCTCAAGACGCTGTTGCTTTAATTTTTCCCGAAGATCGATAAGTCTCAATAAACTAGGAGCTAGTGTGATTCAACAATTACGAAATACCGAACTGAATGCGGAAGTACATTTGTACGAATTTAGTCACTAGAACCGTGCGAAGCTGGTTTGTAACGAACGAAGCTACGCTTAATTCGCAATTCCATTTTCCGTCCCTTCCGTACATTGCCATCCTTTTCATGTCTATAACCTATTTTCATTCCCTTGCACTAACCAGTTCCAATACAGTTTCTGGTCCGTTCTACACAAAATGTAAGTTAACTTCTAACACAGGAATACACCAGCATTCTTCAACCCTAATTCCAGGACAAAGCCTTGACCTTGGCGGCCTGTTCGAATTTTTGGGCCTGCTACTATAATATCTACATTTTGCATCCAGTCTTCTGTTTACCAACATTTATTTATCACCTAAACATGAATTCTAACAGAATCATTTACTCTCGTAACTTTATTAATCATCTACGACCAAATGACTTTCATATTCCAAAGAAACCAAGGAGGAAACATCGTAGTGGTTGGCAGAGAGCTCTCAAACGTACGCCAATACACTTAACTACGGTCCCCGTCATAATGAACACAAACTGTCACTCTCTGCCAAACAAGATAATGTACCTACAATCCTTGATGTCAACTGATACGTATCATAATACCGCCATAATCACATTACAAGAAACGTGGTTGCATGAACTGTATGATGACAACCTTATCTCACTAAAGGACTTTATTTTATTTCGTCAAGACCGTCAATGTTGTAATAAGAAAAATGGTGGTGGCGTTGCAACTTTTATTCACTCCAAATGGTCTGTCTCAAATAACGTCTGCTTCACCTTCTCAAATGACTTCATTGACTGTATTATTGTCAAATGTCGCCCCAAACATCTCCCCAAATATAAACAAATCTATATTACAAACGTGTACATTTCTCCTAGTTGCTCTCCGTCTGATCTATCTAATTTTGCTGATGAATTCACTATGTTTGCCGCTGCCAACTTCGACAACTCTCCATCCGTTATTACTGGAGACTTCAACACCTCAGATTGCTCCTTTCTTGAAGCTCTTGGTCACACAAACATATTCAAATTTCCCACTCGACTTGACAAAACACTCGACTTAGTTTTTACTAATGACGAAGGAGTATAT